TTCTTACATTCATGTAACGGCTGCATTTTGGCTCTTTTCCAAATTCAAATTGTCATTAGACGAGAGTCGAAGGCACAGATAACGTAATGATACAAAAATCTTTGTTAAGTTACAAATTAATTTGGCTCGTTGTATATCTATTTTTTTGTTTTATTAAGCCTTAATTGACGTATAGCCGCACTCAGAATTGATTGATGAATTACCCTTAGCAAAGTCTCCACGCACTGCAATTATAGTGTACTGGGTCTACCTTAGTAATTTCTTAACGATTTTGTATGCGACAGTTATAGTCTTAGTATCATGACTTATCTTACTTCTTACTAAAATTTTTAATGCGTAAGGTGGATGGATGTTTATTAGAGTTTGTAGCCTAAATTGCTAAACGATTCTCAATGAAATTTGGCATATATGTAGAACATAGTTTAGAAAAACAGCTTGTGTGTTATTTACTTTTGTTTTTTTTTCTTCAATTGTTACTCGAGCAAAAGCTAATAAAAATGAAATTGAAATTATTATTTATCATAAAAATATATTTCAGTATAAAGTTTGTAGAGATTAACGCAAAGTGAAATAAAAGCTTTGTACAAGCCTCAATACGATTTAATTATAACCGATGGGTCGAAGCCAAGCGAATACGAACACGAAAGTTCGTCGACGGATTATAGAGTTTATCTCGAAACTTCCATACGATATTTATTCAAGTATGCAACTATATTACGAAGTTTATTAAAGTGCGGCTATTCGAAAACACATTTATTAATAACGTTTCGACCAATTTTAAATCAGATACTATTTATACATATTATTATTATTATAAATGATTTGGCTTTATTTGTGGATAGCTCGTATTTGTTGGTTTTTTTTTATAAGACAAGGGGGCAAACGAGCGGCAGGAAAACAGAATTGGTCAACGAAGCCCATGGCCATCCGTAACACCAGGGGACCTACCGATGCGTTGCCGACCTTTGAGGAAATTGTATTGTTGTAGTTGTAATTGTAAATTAATGTGTAATTGTAAATTATTGTTCCGTTGTTTAATAAAATCGCTACAAAACAAATATATAGATTAGAATAGAGTTAAAAGTAATCTAAAATACAACCTCAATTGCAGGTTATGGACATGTTATGTGACGAGACAATGGGGACATAAACCAGAAAGTGTTAAGAATAACTGTGTATGGCTGTAGCATTTGTAAATGAAGAGGAAGACCAAAGAAAGTATGGATGGAATGTGTGAAAGAGGATATGCATAAAAAAGGAGTGGATTCAGATATGACCGCTGATAGAGATGTATGAAAGAGCAGCACATATTGTGCCGACCCTCCGTAAGGGATAAGGGTAAGTTGATGATGATGAACCTCAATTGCAGGTTATTTTCTAGTAGTGTTACACGGGGAATGAATAAAAATGTAGTTACGAACTTCAGTTATAAAACTACTTCATCGCTATCAGAAGTTTTATAATATATATCTTGTACCACCAAAATGATAACGATACGAATGGGATTATGGCTATGGTTCATGGTACAAGGTGCGCTGGTCTTAGCTATACCAGTGTTTTAGAAACAGTTTTGTAGAAACAAAGGAACAGTGTTGTAAAAACAACTCATTTTTTGCTATGACTTCGGGGTTTAATAGTTACTTAAGATTGTAATTCGCACATCTGTGGCGCCATTTTCTGTCTATCCTGGCTCTACCCTAAGACCGTAGTAACGTTGGGTAGTAAAAAAGGCATAAAAAATCGTATAATGTTAAATTGAACACTCGAGTATTGTGTTTGTATAATAACATGTAATTGTGATGAATCGATAAGAACGCGTGGCAAATGAATTATGAGGCGTAAAATCAAAATGCTGTGTGGATTTTTATAAGACGTATTGCATTGAAAAAAACATATCGTTTTGTAAACGATCATGAAAGTGATAGTGTTATATTTTATGGTATGTTCGTTTACATTAATTTATCATAAGTGAGGCTTTCGATTCACTTAACCCCAAACAGAACATGTAACAACAATTACTTTGTGTTTTTTAATTTCATAAAATTGTTACATTTTCAACGACGTATTGACGATTGAATTTAATAATTCAATAATAGAAACTTGATTTTAATTTAATTTAACATTCTTGTATTTTAAAATAAATTTTGCCATTTGATTTAATTCTTATTCTTTCAATTATAAAGCCGCATTATATATATTACTTCTTATTATAATATTAAACATTTTTTAAATAAATATTCAACAAAGAGTTTGCTTGCAGGTACTACAGAATTGTTTACAAATTGTTTTACTTCAAGAAACACAAGCCAGTGACAATGTGACGGAAAATGTAACTCCAAAAACCAACGAAACTTCGAGAAATCCCGCTACCATTTCCAAAGATGATGATGAAATAAATCCAACAGAAGTGAACAACCCGCATTTCGAACCTCTAAGTGCTGATCCAACCCATGATGAAGAGAATAATGATGTCGACTATCCAGCTAAGACTCTATTGCGGTTACTCAGTACGTAAATAAATATTGCATAAGTATACATTTTTATCCTATTATACAAAGTGTCTCATCACGTATCTGATTTGTAGAAAAAGTTAGTTCGCACAAACCGTCTACTGAAACGACATTAAGGACCAGTTTCCCAGCTACATTTAACCATTTGTGTTAGTGTTTTTGGTTTGATAAATTCATTAAATGCGTTTCCGAACTACGTAACTTGAAGTTTGCTCCTTTAAAACTTAGGTCAACCTAACGCTAATCGCTAGGTAATGACAAAATAAGTGGTAACTTCAGCAACCAAGTATTGAACATGAGTCTTAATTGATAAAACCACGCATAAACTACAAATCACAATAAAATATTGATGTCAGATTCTAAATAGCGCTTACGAAGTGGATTGTTTATTCCATTCAGTATTCGGCCGTGAAAGTGTTTAATCGCCACTAATGAAGACTTTAGTGTAATTTTAATAACTAATTTATTTTGTATAATTTTCAATTTAACAATATTGTGTAATTAGACCGAATGATTGACTGAGATAATGGATGATAGAGATCTGGAGGACGAAAACCCGGACCGTGGACCCTACGACAGTAGGATAAGAAGGGAAGACGATAATGTTTTTTTTTTAATTTTTCAGAACTTAAAGGTAGCATCACAGACAGTTTCGATCAGGCATCGAAAATATTCGACGGAATGCAAGACGTCGGTGGCGAATTATTCGGAATGGTTAGAGATGGAGCTCTGAATGTTAAAAATTATTTACCATTTAAATAAAGAATGAAATTAGTTACATTTAAATAAAGAGACAAAAAGCATACACATTGTATTAATTGTTTTATTACATTCGATAATCACCCATAAAAAAATCTATTTCCAATCTTAATCTTGAGCGAAATAAAAATAGATATAAATCGACCTTAAAAGCCAAATCTTTTACTAAATACGCTCCAACTCTACAATAAACAATATTACAATATACAGCCAAATGTGTTGAACCAACATTTAGTTCCAACATTTAGTTAAAATTGTTAATGAAATTAAAATAAGACATGGACAGTCTGTGACGTTGGTCGGTAATTTTACTTTGACTTTGAATACAATTAGATTTGACGTTTAAAAAAACTTTTTCATCATTCCCAATAAATTGTTTCTGAACAGTTACCAAGATAAGCTTTTAAATTTCAACATCTAAGTTTGGTAGCAGCTTTACGCGCCATTGGTTTCATCCTTTAACTTTTAAGAGACAGGACCTGTTAAGCACACGCATACTCTTTGTCGATTAAAATCGAATAACAATTCAGATATCATTTTTTAACTTATAAAAGATAAAAAATTATACACACTTAACGACTGGTAGTTAACTAAGTTAGTAGTTGTTACATGCGTTAAGCGAAGGACCTATAACTGTAGCAGGCATAATTGCGCAAGGCTTGGGAATGCATTAAAAAAGATTTATTTATATGCACACGTATTATTGCCATCTTTACATCAAGAATTGATTTAATGAACATCACCTCTAAAAAGGCTCCGAATCCCCTAGAGACGTATACTGATGCTAAAGGTAGCGTTTGCATAGTCCGTTTCTTCATAATCAAAGGCATCACCCTATTAGCGATAATTAAATCAAACCCAGGATTGTATTCATCCCGAATTACAAATTTGTTTTAATCTTTACCAAGTTTTAATGAATTCATCATTATTGTACTACTATATTATTGTTGCCTTAAACTATACATTCTTAATTTATGAATTGAAATGTTTTAATTATTTAGTAGACGGAAAAAACATTTGATAAAGTATGTGATAAGTCAGCCAGATATTGTTTAATACTTGAGAGATATTAATTACAGCACCTGCAGGTTATGAAAATTTAGCACCTATTTTTAAGACGCCTAAGTAGTTAGCGCGCCCACAATTCATCATCGCGTGCTACTTATTTCACGGCTCTATTTTTTATGCTATCAGAGGGGGGGATTTTTAAAAATATACCTTTCGTTCTGGGGTGAAGACAGGGTTATGTGAGGTTTGTACCCACCAACACGGCCTCGGTGGCCCGCCTCTAGTGCAATAGAACAGGGTTCCGGGATCTCTTCGGAATTCACCGGAAACTTATTTCATGCCTTGCATATGTGTAGATATTAATACTGGAACCAGAATCCTTATACTAAAACCCATCTATGATTCTCTATATCATGGTTAATAAGCTTTAAAGATAGCCAAATCACTTTCTTTAATACTGCATCGTATTACATAAAACCGATGTAGGTTTTAATATTGCTCAATTTTTAATATGTTGTAAGAAGATTGTGTGAAATTGTGAATTCAATTGTAACGAAACGTGTAATAGCCTGAGTAATAGACTTGTTAATATTAAATTTACAAATTAATAAAACGTCAAATTTTATTTACTACCACGTGTTGATGACGATATTTTGATAAGCAAGTATAAAAGAGGCTGCACCTCAATCATTTTAACTCTCAAATCAATAGCTAAATTTATTATTTTACACTTTTGTGTCTACTTAAGTGTAAATATGTATTGTGATTATTTGGTTTTACTTTTTCTTGGGGTAAGAATTACTTTGATTACTTTGGCAACGTTCTGATATTTTTTCAAAACGAAAAATAAATAGATAGAGGTTACTCTACAGTAATAAAACTGTAATGAGAAAAACGAAGATTATTTTCAATTTTTTGTTTTAAATTAGGAGGTTAATTCTCTAGTTACATGTTGCAGTAATTGTACAGGTAATCGTAGACCAATTACCGAGTGCCGAGTAATTGGGTATTCGGTTTCAAGGCATTTCAATTTATTACTCAGACTAAATACTGTTAGACTTATACGAAGTGTATATAAACTGTACAGTATTTGGTCATCCAAGAAAGTTAAAAAGATTGTCTTTTGTTTCTTTCCCTCTTCTTTTCATTACCAATGTTCCTTTTTTGAATGCATAATTCTTTTCAGTTCGCGGCAAAAGATTCGGAACACGAGTCCGGCGAGGATGTCGGTAACAAAATATCTAATGTATTGAAAGAAGTATCTAAATATTGTAAAGGTGAAACATACCATGGCCCTCCCTACCTTCCACCACCACCACCGACACCACCAACCGAACCATCGTATGATTTTGACAATCACTTTGTTTATCAAGAACCTGAGAGTATTTATAAAGACCTAATCCACCCGATGGAATATTACCCTTATAGAGTTGATGATTATCTTGAAGAACATCGTGTACCACACCATGGGGTACCGTTCCAATACGATTCTGCAAATGTCACTCCCAGTAGACGTATGCAAATCCTGCAACAGCAATACGGCGAACTGCCAATTGTATCTGGTACTAACGAATTAGTGAAGGTTGTGAATAATAATCAAGTAGCTATGGTTAGAATACCGGAACCGGTAGTTATGAATCTGGTGACACCGGACCAGCTGTCAGTGTTGTACCAGAAAAATCAAGCGTTCGATGTACCGTCAACTGATCCATCGATGCCAAGGTTGATCGCGATGACAACGAGAGTTCTGTCTTCCATTTTAAGTAAGATTGTCTCATTATGAACTAGTTACAGCAACTCTACAAATATGCAATATTAATGAACCATTTAGAAGCCAATGAACATTAGTTGAAGATAGTAATGAGATTAAATGTGGTTAGTTTCAAAGGAAGATCGAAGAAAATGCTTTATAGTCTGTTAGAGAAATATGAAAGGAGTGAATTCAGATATGACAACTGATAGAGATGTATGGATGAGTCAATACTATCGATTCTATGTAAGGAAAAAACCAAGCATGAGATGAGATAATATTAATTCTAATGTAGCCGACAAGTTTAAACAAGCAACACCTATGATCCTTGATGGCTTAGATATTAACATTGTCTTGCTTATTATCTTTCCTTACAGAAGCAAAGAAGAGATTCCACAACGTGATCGACCACGGCGTCGCTGGCGCGGAGAACTTATTCGGAGGTATACATGAAGCTGCCGGCGGTATCGCGGAGCTCATTGGAGGCGGCGCGCACGGACTTCTAGACTTGGTAGTTTAGTAACAGCTTAATCGATGGCAATTTAAACCATTAAATTTAGTATTATATCTGAATATTGAGTTTTGTATTTTATTAATTACAGAATATTATTATGCCATTTGGTAACTTGATTTGTAAATAAATCCCTATTGTAAACTCATGCTGTAACAGTAAGAGCTGGACCTTTGAATAAGCTATCGCACAACTGTTGTGCGATAGTCGATTGTTTTCCATGCATTCAACTGTTTAGTAGCACAACTAAAAATCGAGTAGTGTGCGTACCGCCGTACAAGCTCAAAGGAATCAAAGCAAGACTAAACAGTTATGCGATAGATTAGATTCAGGTGTGCACACGTTCTTAGTTTCCATGACCCATTCAAAGTTATTGTCTTAATGTTAACTCTCAGCTTTAAAAAGAAGAGAATAATAACAAGCCATAAGTTATAATTATGTGAGTTAAGCTGTAAGTTTTGACTACTAATTGAAATAAGAGAAAAATATTGCGAAGACACAAGTATATTAAGGAGAAATATGAAGGTTTTATACAATAAAAAACAACGAGAAATAAAAACAAAGCCCAATAGAACTCAACAATCGCCGGCCTTGTTCACGAAAACAACTCGTAGACGCAAATTATTCAGAAATTTGCATCGTCGGGAACAAGCTCCTATTTACATGTCAAAACACCAAGCACTTCAAGAAGATTTAGAAATCTGTTTCGTCCATCCCTCGGTATAATACAAGAATTAAGTATTGTCTTATTTGTGATTCAGGGACAAGTGCTTGAGAATAAATTACTTCTAATGAGGTTATATTTAAAAAATTAAGACATTCAACTGTTTTGGTTAAAAAATCTTTAACTCTCGAAATAAGTATTTGTATCGATTATAGTGTTCTAAGGTCATCTTATCTTAAGTCTTTTTAAATATTTAGAGCGACCCCACATTTGAAACTAAATTATCGCAAATGTCAATATTGACAGGACGAATTTAAAAATAAAGTAGACTATATGATATGCCCGTCTATGTCAGCTACCTTCAGTGAAATCGAAGACAGAAAAACAAAAGTTTGTTAAATGCGATTTTCCTTTTTAGCAATGCGAACACATAATCTTCTCGAAATCTGGATTTTATGATATACCAACAGAAACTCCAATTTTATTATATGTATAGAAGATATAGATAGTAACCAAGTTAGGACTTGGCTACAAACTAGTGCTTGTTATCCCTTAATATGGCTAATACTGGAAATAAAACGAAGTTCTATGTTGTATTTAACATAATAGGAAGCCTGCTATGCAAAATGGTGGAGTGAATTCGTTAGCAAAAGTTTATTAATTTTACGGTTTCGCGCGCGCTAAGTTAAAGCGATGACAACTTGTCAATTATGATATCTATTAACATGGGGCTACTTTATCTCATTTATTTTTAAAATAACAACTTAACTTTAAAAGGAATTACGTACTGTGTCCTGTTTACGACCTACCAATGTCAATAATTTTTTTAATTTTCTAAAGCAGGGGGGCAACTGTCTTCTCTGGCGACGTTTGTTGGCATTCAGTTTACTCTAATAATAATAACAAATATTAATCTTGTTTAGTAAGTTAAAAGTAAATACATTTAACATATTTTGGATCAAAGCCAGTTCGTAGAAATGTAAAAATGATCCGCAGTGGCATTGACATAGTGGCATAGACAACATTTTTATTTAAATAAAAACAACCTCATCGAATATTACTTGTCTATGCGGGTCGTTATTTGCATCGGGTCACAGGGTCTATTACGAATATTCGTGACAATGTTTCCGTAACGTAATCGTCGTAATTTGTGCAGCGCCTCTACAGGTCGTAAAAGGACGATGACAGGACGGATACGTTCTCGCAACTGTTACGCTGTTCTTGATAGACCCTCAGTTGCTTGTATTTACATGACAAAACGTTTTGTAGTCGAGATGGTAACGAATGCATTTCTGTACTGGGATTTAATCACATTTATGCAATCGTTTTATGAATAAAAGTAAAGGTGTATAAACTTACCATTGGTAAATTCTTGTTTATTTGCTGATAAAAACACACACTATTTACAACAAAAAGTAAAATTGCAGTGTTAAAATAAAAACGTTGTTACATTACTTGCTTCACATCTTGCACTCTCACTTCGCGCCTAAATCCTTTCCTTTGTATTTTTCTTTTTTATTCAAATTATGTCTATTGCTTTCTTGGCAGCCAGTACGATTTTAAATATTCATCCACAATTTTTTTTTTAAACTTAAACAAATTTAATTTTACAATTAATTACCTTATAAAACATGTTACTATTTAATTTAAATATGCTTTTATTTCTAAGTGATTAAAAATTTATTTACAACTGCTGTCAGCGCCATCTATTATCGATTACTGTAACTGGAAGGTTATAAGCATTTTCCTTTTAAAACATGAATACACTAGACTAATATGATAAAACAGTGAAAATTTAGGTTACAGTATTAACTAGCTGGTTTTAAATGAAATGCTTAAACTTAGTGTGAGTAGGCAGAACTTTTACTGTCAGTTGTACTGCAAATAATTTACCTGAACACGCTCGTGCATTCATTATACGTAAAAAAGATCGCGGAGATGTCTATATGATTTACAATTTATTAATGCCGTTTAAGTTTGGTTACTTTTTAAACATCTAAGTACAGTGACGTTTAGTAATTCATACTAGATACAGACATATACTTAACAATTCCGTTTCTAATGACCAGAATATGGTAAGCCTAATTTATGCTATTGTACGTACTCGACTATTATCGGATTTCTGATATGACGCTATTAATTAGTCATTAATATACGGAATATGTATTCGATCGATTTAATTCACTTACGACCGAATACTGAAATTATTTATCTATAGGTTATAGGTTTTATAGAAAACAATTGAAAGCTTAGTATCATGTTATCTATCTATAGTTATGTATAGTCTATGGCGTCCATTTCTAAGATTGTGATCTTAGACGACTGGCAATACCAAGTTTAGTTTGTAGTATTAGGGCTTGTCCCACCACAGATAACTTAAAAATGCCGTCATTATCAGATAAGGGAACAAAATACAAAATTTATATCAGACAATTTAGAATTTGGTGGGACAAGCCCTTAGTATCTATAGATAAAGCATGTGTTACACCTCATCATTAAGGTAGCAGAGGCAATATAGAATCGAATTGTGCCAGCGGTTCTATCGTTACGCCTTTTTCGTGTACCCTTCCTTTACTTTTAGTAACGTAGTTTATTCAGCGGTTACGTCAAACCTGCGTCAGCTACTTTTACGGAACTTTAGTAAGAGTGATTTTTAATATTTTACTTTCTGTAGGTTAATTGTTATAACACTTATTTAAGACAGAAAAACATAAAAAAAAATTGTTATTATCATGGCAATTACATCGTGAACGCTAAATGTGTGTTTTTTTCGTTATTAACAGACATTCCAAGAAAAAAGTTAACCTTAAAACGGAGACGCGCAAATTGTAAGTACGTAATACTTCAATTACCATAACATATAAAAGTAGATATAAAAGAAATGTTACAATTTATTCATAATTTATGTAGACCCATATCATTGTAAAATGCCACTTTTTGTAATCCCTGTAAGAACTCGCACCTGAGACTCGTTGGTTATTAAATGTAAATAAATATGGCGACCCAATTAAACTCATAAAGCCAATTTGTATCTCAACTTAGATTAGCTATGTATATGATGTTTATGTAAATTCGTAGCACACTTCAATATATTACACTGTTTTTCAAACTGCGACTAAGGTTTGTCTGTAAAAATTTAACGTAAGTATGATATAACCTAAAAGTAAATGAATGCATAATTTAAATAATACGAATTTTCTTTACGAAATAAAAAGAATTGGAGGTCTGTAATAATTAATAATTATTAAACGTTAAATCTTATTAAAGAAGGCAATAAATTAATGAACACGTGTTACGCAATGTAGAGGGAGTTTGAAACTTTTTTGTTTCTCTTAGAACGGGACATATTTAATTAATTGCTAATTTAATTCCAAATTCTTATATTCTTGTGTTAGTTATCATTTCAAACACATGCTGTTCCCATTGTGGGTAGTTTAAGTAATTCGTACAAATAGTATTTTAAAAGGTTATCTTTTAAAAAAACAGTTGTTTCTCAAACTCTCTGTTTTTTTGTTTACATTTGTTGTAAATGAGACCTGCTTTGTGTAACAGAGGTTGCATTATAAGACTGGCTGTTTAGAATAATTTAAATATGACATATATTTTATATTGAATTCAGTTGTTCCAAATAGAGTGAGGCACAATGTTTTGTTGAGTAAAAAATAATATCTCGTTTTTATATACTCATGTTATGTTATGTTAATTTAAACGTAAATAAATAGTAAACATTATTTATTCTATCATTTGTGTGCTGGCTGAAGCAAATTCCGATCAATATTAAAATTCACATGTTTATACCATTAACACCGTATTCAGAGAAATGTAACGGATAATCCAAATGGCCCATTCAGCAGCATTAGATAAAGTCCAACTTAGTTATTAGTTTCTCCCGCATCCCACACGCCTACCTCTACATTACCAAGCTAACTTTATCTATAATATTTATTTATAATATTTAGCTGTAAATCTAGAGGATGGATCGATCTAGAATACAAATTTGGACTAGAAAGGAATACTGAGCTGTAAAGAATTGAGAGAAGTGGTTGAAGAAAAAAAAATTAAACATGAGACATTTCTAATTAGAAGTAATTTATAGTAATTATTCCACGAAATCACAACTTAAATGTTATTTCGTATTTAAATTACCGTTTTATATTACTGAAGTTCTATTACGATTTTTTTTGATAGTTGCGAGAACGTATTCGTTACGTCATCGACAAAAATTGGCACTTATTTAATACTAGCTGTTGCTGACGACTTCGTCCGCGTAGAATTATAAAAAAAAAAATAAGTCTGTGTTACTCACTGATAATGTAGCTTGTAATGTTGAAAGATTTTTGTAATC